AATGAATTGGAGTTACCCCTGATGATATTTTGCCACTCCCCTATAAATTTAGAGCTTCACCATGAAAATAATGATAATAAAATTGTTTAGAATATCACTTACAATGACTTAGTGATTTCACGTCATCCCGCAAGGTTGACTGTTTTCTCTCTTTTCCCTTCGTAACACTTTTATAACCCACAAACATTGCTGGCGTCACAGTAAACATGAGAGGTGGATTAAAACTACAGTTTAGTTAAACCATAGTGTTTTTAGGGAATTAAACTGTACTCACGAAATCGTAATGACACGATTGCAAACAAACCATACCACGGGTGGGAATAGAACCCGCGATCAGAGAGTCTCAAAACTCCAGACCGTAGCGTTAGCCACTGGACCAGCTAGCCATAATAAGATTCGTCCAGCTAGTCATGTTAACGGCTTTGGGGGGACTTGAGCTAGAGTTCGTCACGGCCACGCTAGCTGGAGATTCGTCTGTAAAAACTTGCATTTGTGGTCACAGTGGTGCCTATGCTAACCTTCCTATGGTGTAGAAATATACCTAGTTGGACGAATCTTATTGTTGCTAGCTGGTCCAGTGGCTAACGCGACGGTCTGGAGTTTTGAGACTCTCTGATCGCGGGTTCTATCCCCATCCGTGGTATGGTTTGTTTGCAATCGTGTCATTACGATTTCGTGAGTACAATTTAATTCCCTAAAAACACTACCCAGATGCAAAGGGTTATAACAAAAATCTTGCAAAAGAAAAACCATTAACAAATTATTTGAATTTAGTGAAGCAGACTGTACTGTCCGTATTTTTTTTACAAGGCTCTATGCATTGTAAGCTGTCTGGGGCCCTATAAACCACAACAAGAATATGAAGTCCATATTTTTATAGCGCTGAATTTACACAGGTAAGACCTCTTACTATAACTCTATGCATATCCAAGTTTAGCTTAATCTCTGGTATATTACTACACCTATAACAGTCTTTCCATATTACTACACCCATAACAATCTTTCCATATTAATACACCCATATTAATACTTATTTACTACTGGTGAACAGGAACAGCAAGTATAATGAGCTGAAGAAGCCACTTGTTGCGAAACATCAACTCTAATAAATGTCCAAAACTGTAAATAATTGCCCTTGTCCACATCTTGTCGATATCACCATACCATTTTTCAGTTACCAGGGATTATTAGAGTCCTTCGGTAGCGAGAGGAATGTGGTAATTCTCAGCTTAATTGTGATCAATGAACGATACCTCTGACAATAATTTTGTGTTGTTCATGTATTATATATTATATAATAAATCAAAAGAAAGCAATTAGTTTCAGCAAGCCGTATATCCACCCAAATTAAACCTATTAATGGATCCAAGTAGCTAACTGCTTGCCGACAATAGTGAAAAAAAACATACACGTTGCAGGACAAGATTTTATCTTGACATTATTTCGCTCTGTTTAGAGCTTTGTCAAGACACGATAAAGATCTCAGCGTATTCTGCAAGGCCTTTCTTTTCTTCACATTAATCCGTAAGTCTCCATTTTAGACAGACACTGACCGCCTACTATCAAGACTGATAACCTCAAAATTACCTTCTACTGTCTCTACTGTCATAGTAGACGAAGAGAATGTAATAACTTTCGAAAACTGAAGCACCGAAACTCAGTATTTACTGAGTCTTTGGTCAACATCTTTCAGATGGTAATATTGCGTCTGAGCGACGTCCAGAAACCATTTATTGCAGAAGATAATCAATACTATACTTATTTTAAGTCTTATATCCATATGAGACACTTATGTAATATATGGGAATGTTCATTGAGGAAACGTTTCGCCACACAGTGGCTTCATCAGTCCAATACAAAGCTGAAAGATGTAAGGAGAGGAGGAGTTTGAGGCAATCAATCCCTCAACCTGGAGTCGATGTGTTCAATCCATCAATCTTGTAGAATTTACAGCATTGATTGATGGACTGAACACATCGGCTCCAGGTTGAGGGGCTGATACCTCAAACTCCTCCTCTCCTTACACCTTTCTGCTTTGTATTGGACTGATGAAGCCACTGTGTGACGAAACGTTTCCTCAATGAAGATTCCTAAATGCTGCATAAATGTCTCAATCTTCAACTTGTCGGTTTTCAAAACCATTCATCACACACATAAATCCATGTGGCTTATTCAGTAATTGAAGCGGTAAAGGCTCGAGTCTCTGTCTGCTATTTACGGCACAGAAATGTTTAGTGAACACTCCTTGTTGCGACCACTACTGTAGAAGAGGTCTGCTAGCTTTAATATGCCGGTGGCACTAACAGGGCGCCGCATACCTGGGGATGGGAGTGTGGGTAGTTGATGCTCTCCCTGGATTAGGCTTTTGTTAAGAGGGAAAACAGCAATATTGATCCCGAGTCTGCCTAACCCCTTATCCCCCCTGGAAAAGTTCGTGTGAGTGACCTTGCCTACCACTGAAAGGGAAGATGCACAATACTCTTCCTGCTACCAGAACAGTGTAAACGCTTCACGTAGGGTGGAATGCATTTTAGAGATCGCAGAAGTTCCAGAGCTTAGGAAAAAATTACTGATTATAACGTTGCTTCCAGTTACTGCAACATTGCACCGCAAGACATGCAGCACCTGTTTCGCTTTTCAATTTACCGATTTGAGGTTAAATATACATACAAATTTATGAAATCTAATCTAACCTCTACTAATCTAACCTAGCATAGCTAGCATCAACAACCTAAGACAATCTGAAAAAAAAATGTTTTCTGTACGCAAGAAGATTTCGGAAATTGACACAAATGCGTCAGAAAACGAACGAAGGGTAAACTGTTGATGGGTTGAAATACGTTATGAACAGGTCAGATATGACACTTCCACAGGAGATAGTATACTCTATATTAGATTACAGTAGGTTATATTAAGTAAAGGTGGTCTAAACTGGATTTTTTGGGATATATTAAGTTAGGTTAAGGCGTGTTAGGTTGGGTTATATTAGATTAAGCTTAAGTTGGGTTATATTAGATTAAGCTTAAGTTGGGTTATATTAGATTAAGCTTAGATTAGATTAGCGTATTTTAGGTAGGTAAGATTAGGTTAGGTTAAACTAGATAAGCTTGGGTTATATTAGTTTAGGTTATTATAGGTAGGTTAGGTTAGGTTAAAGTAGGTTAAATTAGGATAAATTGTTAATTTAACTAAGGTCACTATAAGTTCTAATAGATTTTGTTAGATTAGAATGTTTATCCTTAACCTTATCACAATTATCGTACATTTTCTCAGATATAACCGTCAATAACCACCTTATATAAGTGTTATGGCATCTACTAGCAGCAGGAGACGTATCATCACTTAATTCGTTGGAAACCACACGTTCAGTCTTACAGTGCGAGGAAGGGATGGTACAATAAGACGAGCTATAACGATCACAAAACACTTCTGAGTATATCGTGACCATGTCGTCATATATTGATCTACTAGAAGAGGGTACTAAGCTAACACGAGAGAGTCTTCTGCTCTTCTTTCCTTGACTCACTCGCCTAAATAATACAAGACAGTTGTTAATTTAGGTAGACGTTGATAGTGTTCAGCAGACAGCCTAGGTGTGGGGATTTTCAAGTCCTCTGCTAGCTGTACTTCCAGTGCATACGAAATGAGTTTAATTTATTTAAATCAATAAAACTGCAAATTTGTCAAAGTTCCTCTTTACTTGCAAAATATTTTGTTATTTTAAAGGTCATTGCCTTAAGAAAGAGAGTTAAGTTGCCAACAACGATATAATGAAGAATTTAAAAATGAATGAAAAGAGCGGAACTTGTATATTAGTATACAAAAACATATTAATGTGTACGACTGAATATTTATTCTCCGTTAATACAAGATGAATCTCCTTTGATGAATGAAGCTTTTGTAAAATCTACTTGCGGAGCGAGTAGGTACGGGACAATCCTCTTATTGATCCAGCCTCTGCTCCGCTGACCTAATTCATGCGAGTCTTCAGATATTATGCTAGTCGAGGGAGCTCACACCAGCCCTCCCACACCACCCTTCAAATGAAGGCCTTTTGGAGCTGCTAAAAGTTTCTTGAGCTGGGAACTAGAGCTACCCTTCTCTTCCACAGTTCAAATCTGATTAGCTTCCCTTTCCCAGGTGTATGACCATTATGGGTACAGAACTTACCCATAAATATCTTTAATTTGTTCTACCAAACGAGAATTTTGCATCTATTTGGTGATATTCTCCTGTCTCGATGTGCAATGTAAGGTACCCGTATAATGACGTCTCTTTGTATTCTCTCGAGTTGTCTTTGTTCATACCCTACGTCATAACCCATGTGAAGACAACACAACAGAGGATATGATTGGTAACGTAATATTTCGTCCTACGATTAAGGCCCTCATCAGAGAAATAAGAAACCAAAAATATTTCGACTTTCAACTAAGGCTGGCTTGGTACATTCAATGGTCTTATAGTGCATTAATCTGGTCAACGAAATATTATCAAGTAAAAAGGTTTAAGAAGAAGAATTTATCACGACAAAGTGTCTGCAGGATTCGTCAGCAGGTCTAAGTATAGCCATCATTCTAAAGATCACGTCCTCTCTGCTCCCTATCACATTTTAGAGACAATATTATCTCTATCATACGTGAGACTCAGCATTCTTCGACGAAGCCCTCCAAACATTTATTTTACAAGACTCACCTGAGTAAAGAAACAAAGCTACTACGATCCCATTTAGAATATAGCATACCATGACATTAGCATTGATCATGATCACATGACACTAGCAGTTACTATGATCGCATGACACAGGCAGTGATTTTCATTGCATGACACTATTAGTGCCAATGATCACATGGCATTATTAGTAACTATAACCGCATGCAAACAATTGCGGTTTGGCAATCGCAACTACATTAATATATAACAAGATGCAAAAACTGGTACCTGACAGAATCCTTGAGATCCAAATCCTTCCTGTAGCGCTTTTTTTTGGTGGGAATTCTTACCTTGTGAAATTTTTTATGAAGCTGGTGGCTGGTGGAGCCTCTTCACACCATGCTGGCTGGCTGCTGGGGTGGAGGCAGTGGAGCGCCGGGAGAGCTGCTAGGAATTTGCTGAGAAGGTAAGCGAGAGGTCACAGTACTGCAGTGAGAAGCCTGTGTTGGTAAGAAGGAAACGGGGCAGCTACTAAGAGCATGTGGAGACTGCAAAGGCATAGGCTCTTCTAATATCCTAGGTTTTCTAGAGAGGCTTGGCGTTGCTGTAAGGAGCTTCTGATGATCAGGAGAGCACGGGATCACTCAAGTTTAAGTGACACACAATGGCAGTTAATTAGTGTGGTCTTTACTTGAACACGTATGTGCGTGTATATAGATATATATATATAGACGAGATATAGTTACATTCGCAACATTCAGACGCTGAACTAGCAAATGAAAAATAACTATAGGCTATAAATGTTTAGTTATATGTCACAACCAACCAAAATAAAAAGTGACGCAACAACATTCCTTAAAAAAAGGATATTTTTTTTTTTGTATATTACAAGGACATGAAGCTTCGTGCTGAGATATCGAAATTATAACACTTACACGCGCAAGAAGGCTTTAGGCAAATGTTTTTCTTGAAACGTGGGATGTTTTAATGTTAATATTAAAGTCACCATAGATAGCAACACTGTTTTGTTGGATCAGCTGGGAGGATCAGCTGGGAGCCGGCAGCAGACGAGGAAAAGTCTTCGTCAAAAAGTCTACGGACATCACACGCCTGATTTGACTAACACGGTGAGGGAGTGGTGGTGTGTTACTGAGGCTGGTGATGGTGGTTGTAGGTGGTGGTGATGGTGGTAGTGGTGGTGATGGCGGAGCGTTGTGTTGGAGGGTGGTGAGGGGCCGGTCGTACCGCCAGACTGCGATTACCTACCCCGGTTGAACTCCTCTTGCCAACTGGGACCGGTGACGGAGGTGGTGCGGCCTCACCCTCCTTCACCTCCCTCTAACCCCTCACCAAGACCCCTCTTCTCCCTCACCCAGACCCCCAGTCTCCCTCACCCAGACCCGTCGCTACTGCGTCGACTCCTGCGATACTCATCCCCCCTCCCCACCCTCCCTCCATCCCTCCACTCCTTCCCTCCATCTGTACCACCCCACACCTTTCCTCTCTCCTTCCCTCCCCTCATACAGCCTTCCCTTCATCCATATTTTGATTCTCCCACACCTTCCTTCTATCCATTCCGCTCCATACTACATCCCACTTTTCATCCCTACATTATTCCCTCCACTATTCTTCAATCTTCCATTCTTTACGCCTTTCATCACCCTCCTTTCTCCTTCTCTCTTATTAACGTTTATACCATCCCTCTCTCACCGACCATAAGTGCTCTTCTTTCTCTCTTTTTCCATCCCTCTTCTTGTGTCTATTCGACTGTCTCTCTCTCTCTCTCTCTCTCTCTCTCTCTCTCTCTCTCTCTCTCTCTCTCTCTCTCTCTATCTATCTATCTATCTATCTATCTATCTATCTATCTATCTATCTATCTCTATCTCTCTCTTTCTCTCAACCGGTGGCGCCCCCTGGGACAACTTCCTGTACAATTTGCTCACTACATTAGGTCATATCCTCCTATTCCTTCACCCTTTCTCTCTCTCCTTCTCCCTCTCCTCTCCTTCCCCCTCTAACCACCGCTTTCCTTCTTACCTCCTATCATGTTCCGTATAAACCCCGCCCATTTATTCTCCTTCTCTCTCTCACTTTCTATATCACTATTTCTCTTCTTTTCTTATCTTCTCTCTCTCTCCCTCTCTAACACACTCCATTTTCCTCGTATTCTTAACTTTCTCTCTTCATTCTTCAGCTTCCTCCTATTCATCCCCCTCCTCCTTCCTCTCCTACACTTTTTCTCCTTTCTCTGCCCCATTCTGTCTCCCCCCCTCCCTCCCTCCCTCCATCAGCTACTCAACAATGGCGAGCAGTACCATTAAGCCTCAGCTGCAGATACAGCGAAAATCTCTTTCAAAGAAGGCTAATGCAAGTTTTATTTACTAGAAAGACTGACACGTTATTACATTCTCTTAGTTCGTTGATGTTCAAACGTCTCGAGGCTCGAGCAGCTTGTAACACTGAGTTCCAATGAATTTTGAACCTCCGAGACCCGAGCAGCGTGTTGCTCTGTGTTTGTAAACGTTCTAGTTCTCGATTCGAACAGTGTGTTGCTTCTCAATTCGATTCGCATCCCTTATGAGCATGCAGCTCCCTGCTCTGAGATCAATGATTCGAATGTATTTACCGACAGGCGTATTTCTCTCAGTGTAAATACACCAGGAGTTTCAATTATTTCCTTCTTTAAGAATTTTGTGGGGGACAGGTTACATGTAGCATTAGAGGCCAATATATAGTGGAAAGAACTTAAATCCCTATTAGCGCGCTCAACAGCGTAAACAATCAATTTAAAGCAATGATAGACTTCCACAGTTCCGACTCGGGAAGGCAATTCCAAGTTTTCCGTGAGTTACTGCCTTCCTTGAAACCAGTTCTAGACCATGTGCAAGAAAATGTGTACAGCAGACGTGCAAGCAAACACAGGAGAGCTCACATGAGGGGAGCAAAGTTACTAGTTATGGGTGATTTCAATCACTAGGAGATTGACTGGGAAAACCTGGAGCCCCATGGGGGTCCCGAAACATGGAGAGCCAAGATGATGGATGTGGTACTGGAAAACCTCTTGTATCAATATGTTAGAGACACTACCAGAGAGAGAGGTGAGGATGACAAAGCAAGACTGGACCTTGTATTCACCTTGAGTAGTTCGGACATTGAGGATATCATGTGTGAAAGGCCCCTAGGAGCTAGTGATCATGTGGTACTGTGCTTTGACTACATAGTTGAGCTATGTAGTAGCTCAACTATGAGTAGCAGGAATAGGATGAGAAAAACCAGATTACAAAAGGGGGGACTACACAGGCATGAGGAACTTCCTGCAAGACGTTCAGTGGGAGAGAGAACTAGCAGGAAAATGATGGACTATGTGACAAACAAAATGCAAGGAGGCAGAAGAGAGGTTTGTTACCAAGGGAAACAGAAATGATGGAAAGACCAGAACGAGTCCATGGTTCACCCAAAGATGTAGGGAGGCAAAAACTAGGTGCACTAGATAATGGAAAAGGTACGGGAGACAAAGGACTCATGAAAATAAAGATATCAGAACCAGAAACGAATATGCACAGATAAGAAGGGAGGCTCAGCGACAATACGAAAATAGCATAGCATCGCAAGTCAAGTCTGACCCGAAGCTGTTGTATAGCCACATCAGGAGGAAAACAACAGTCAAGGACCAGGTAATCAGACTGAGGAAGGATGATGGGGAGTTCACAAGAAACGACCAAGAGGTATGTGAGGAGCTCAACACGAGATTTAAAGAAGTATTTACAGTGGAAACCGGTAGGACTCCAGGAAATCAGAACAGGGGGGTACACCAACAAGTGCTGGATGAGGTACACATAACCGAGGAGGAGGTGAAAAAGCTGCTATGTGAACTTGATACCTCAAAGGCGGTGGTACCAGACATCTCTCCGTGGGTCCTTAGAGAGGGAGCAGAGATGCTGTGTGTGCCACTAACAAAGATTTTCAATACATTCATTGAAACTGGGCAACTACCTGAAGTACGGAAGATGGCAAATGTAGTCCCAATTTTTAAAAAAAGAGACAGACACGAGGCATTAAATTACTGACCTGTGTCACTAACGTGTATAGTATGCAGAGTCATGGAGAAGATCATCAGGAGGAGAGTGGTAGAGCACCTGGAAAGGAACAAGTGCATAATCGACAACCAGCACGGTTTCAGGGAAGGAAAATCCTGTGTCACAAACCTTCTGGAGTTTTATGACAAGATGACAGAAGTAAGACAAGAGAGAGAAAGGTGGACAGACTACATTTTCTTGGACTGCAAGAAGACCTTCGACACAGTTCCTCACAAGAGGTTAATGCAAAAGCTAGAGGATCAGACACACATAACAGGAAAGGCACTGCAATGGATCAAAGAATACCTGACAGGGAGGCAACAACGAGTCATGGTACGTGACGAGGTATCATAGTGGGCGCCTGTGACAAGCCGGGTTCCACAGGGGTCAGTCCTAGGACCTGTGCTGTTTTTGGCATATGTAAATGACATAGCGGAAAGGATAAACTCAGAAGTGTCCTTGTTTGCAGATGATGTGAAGTTAATGAGGAGAATCAAATCTGTCGAGGATCAGACAGGACTACAAAGAGACTTGGACAGGCTACAAGCCTGGTCCAGCAACTGGTTCCTTGAATTTAACCCTGCCGAATGCAAAGTCATGAAGCTCGGGGAAGGGCAAAGAAGGCAGCAGACACAGTATAGTCTAGGTGCCCAAAGACTTCAAACCTCACTCAAGAAAAAAAATCTTGGGGTGAGTATAATACCGAGCATATCTCCTGAGGCGCACATCAATCAGATAACTGCTGCAGCGTACGGGCGTCTGGAAAACCTAAGGATAGCGTTCCGATATCTCAGTAAGGAATCGTTCAAGACTCTGTACACCCTATACATCAGGTCCATACTGGAGTATACAGCACCAGTTTGGAATCCACACCTGGTCAAGCACGTCAAGAAATTGAAGAAAGTGCAAAGGACTTCAACAAGACTAGTCCCAGAGCTAAGGGGATTTTCCTACGAGGAAAGGTTAAGGGAAATTGGCCTGACGACACTGGAGGACAGGAGGGTCAGGGGAGACATGATAACGACATATAAAATACTGCGCGGAATGGACAAGGTGGGCAAAGACAGGATGTTCCAGAGATGGAACACAGAAACAAGCGGTCACAATTGGAAGTTGAATACTCAGATGAGTCAAAGGAAGTATTTCTTCAGTCATAGAGTTGTCAGGCAGTGGAATAGCATAGAAAGTGACGTAGTGGAGGCGGGAACCATACATAGTTTTAAGACGAGGTTTGATAAAGCTCATGGAGCAGGGAGAGAGAGGACCTAGTAGCAATCAGTGAAGAGGCGGGGCCAGAAGCTGTGTCTCGACCCCTGCAACCACACACACACACACACACACACACACACACACACACACACACACACACACACACACACACACACACACACACACACACATACACACCTGATCACAATGACCTCACCTCCTCTTCCCAGTGTGGGCTACGAGGTTAATGACCGGTAACAAGCCTCCCACCTTTCTCCCTCTTCCTTCTTCCTTCACCTTCCCTCTCTCTTCTTCCGTCTCACTCCTACCCCTCTTCTGTAAATTAGTGCTAGTTAATTGTCAGTCTTTTCAAGAGCAGAGGAGTAATTAAGTAAGATAAGACCGCTATTCCCGAAGCCTCGTATACGTCGCTACAACAGTAATTTATGAAAAGCAATTTCCTTATGATTAAGAAAAAGATTTGCATGCCTGACACAGTTTTTATTTATATAAAAGGAAAAAGTTATGTAATAATTAAATACAGCTATATCATAACTTGTCCTAATGCACCATTAGTGTGAGTTCAAGACAGCATTGTACTCACAGAGTAATATACTATATATATATACATATATATATATATATATATATATATATATATATATATATATATATATATATATACATATATATATATATATATATATATATATATATATATATATATATTATATATATATATATATGTATGTAAAAATATATATATATATATATATATATATATATATATATATATATATATATATATATATATATATATATATATATATATTATATATATATAATATATATATATATTATATATATATATATATATATATATTTTTATATATATATATATATATATATATATATATATATATATATATATATTGGCTTGAATAGCAACGCACTTCTTGCCGAATAAGGCAAACGAAAATTTGTGTATGCAA